CGCCTGGGCCCCAGCTCTCCTCCCTGCCCACACACTCAATGCAGCCTTTGTACATGGGCTGCCCTTCTCCAAGACGTTTGCATGCTGCAGCTCCACAAGGTCAAGTTTGTTCACAGAGAACAGTGGCTGAATCAAGCTCTTAAAAAAGATTAAAAATAAATATAAATAATCATTTAAAGATGTACATGCATGAGCATGCACATACACATAGGTAGCCACATACACACAAAAGTACTTTTAAACAAAGTACACAAAAACACAAAGAAAGTGATCTAGTTGATAAAGCTCCGCATTTTCTCCTGAGATGCTTCTAGTGGTGGCTTCTTGCTGCCTGAAATAGGAGTGCTGGGGATGAAGTGTGAAAGGGGAAATGATTTGTGGCATTTGAGAGCAAGACCCAGGACTAACTGAGCATCACATATAGTCCCCAATGGAAATTTGTTGCAATTTTCTTTACAAACATGACTTTGAAGAAGGGTTGAGTGCACAACCTGCCTGCTTGGTGTGTTCCTAATTGAATTGTTTTTATTTGATATTTTAAGTGCAATGTTAGCTGCACTGAATCATGAGTAGATTGTCCTTGTTCACCTACTGCTGTTCCAAATGTCATTTGCCATCCTTGAATGGATATCTATTTCTTGCACAGCAATGACTAGCACTGTATTTGGAGTAATTTTAAGGAGAGCTTGGAATGTCTTGGGTATAGTATAGGACTTCTTATCCAACTATTTTATCTACGGTCATTCGAGTAATAAAGTAGTTAGGAATCAGTTTGGAACACACCAGAGGTAATTCTGCAGAATGCAACTGTGTTATAGTGTTTATTTATTGATGTTAAATATTCAATTTAGATTTTTAAAAATGTCATTATTGAGCTAAATAATTATGTATTATATTCCAGTATGAATGCCTTTATTTGAAAATTTGTACTTTATATCAAGTCTGAATGTTCCTAGTTTCAGCTTCCAGCTGTAATATTTTGGTTTTGCTCGCTTGACTGAAGAATACTGTGTTAGCAATTTTCTTTCTCTTCATGCATGTATTTGGAGACCTTATTTAAGCTAGTACCACAAACCTGATATAAACAGCAAAAAATAATATGGAAGAAAGCGTCAAGTTTACAGTAAAAAAAGTTAACGTTTAAAATCTGTATACTTCTAAGGGCCTTTCACATTTAAAACTCAATAAATCTATTGCTGAATGAATTCTCACACGCACTATTTGTTGCACAAAATTCTTAGTTCTCAGAGTGGTGAAGGAAACAGCTGCCTTTTTCTCAGCAAGAACATATGCCATGAAACATGTACATCAAAAAACTATTCACAGCAGGAAACTGTCAAATGTATGGCCTCTTGGTGTTTTACTACACATATATTCACAGCATTTTATAACACAACTTAAAAATCCCAAAAACATCTCCACATTTTTCTTGGATTTATAAAAAGTATCTTGTAGCCTACACATTCCATGTGTTTCCTGACACATACATATTTCTGAAAATAGCCTATCCTTTTTATTTCAGAACACTGTACAGAATACATAAATCTGGACAGTTAGTTAAATGGGAAACAAACATGAAAAGTGAAGTACTCTTATCAAAAGCTTAGTATTCAAGAAGTGGTTTTCCTTATTCCAAATTACCTGTGTATACTGCACTACTTCTAATGCTCAAAATGGTAGTTTATTCCAGCTATGCAGGAAGCCTACACTGACAAAACAGCAAGAGGACAACAAAGATATTTACTCCATTTTAGTCGGTACATTTAGATCCTCCCTTTGTAACTTCTTCACATCCAAAGAGCAGCAGAGTGCATCTAAGAGAAAGATCTACACACCTTTTATCTGTTTTCTGAAATAACTAATATGTGTGTTTCAGGAATACATGTGGAAAGATCAGTATGAACTACATTTCTTGACAAAAATAAACTGGTAAGATCTACTGCATCCCATAAACTGTTAAGATATTTGCAAAAGCAAGCTGTCATTACACATCATGCCAAGAAGCACAGAACACACACTCAGTCTAGACTATTTATTGCGTTTTCATATTTTCCCATGTGTTGAAACACATGGAGCAGGGGATAAAAAAAAAATCAATCCTGGTAAAATTCTACTGGGTTACAGTGAGATTTAAGTTGACTTTATGCTGCATTTTTGTTGCAGTGTTTATTACTGAGGCTGTGTGGAAATAGATTCTCAAAAAAAGAGCAGATAGCAAAATGAAAATCATATTTTTGGCCAAAAGTTACTGCTTAGAGTGAGTTGAGCAGATTTGCCTAGGAATTTCAGAGTGAAATTCTCCTTTATTACAATGAACTATCAAGTTAGATGATAAAAGGTACCATAATATTTGTTCATAGAAGCCTTGCTGAATACTTATTATATTATTATACTACATGGAATAAGTCTAGAACTAAGTCACAGAACTAAGAATGATAAAGAGATGAAATAAACTTGTCTTGAGGGGAACAGTCTTCAAAATAGGGTGAGGAATTTTGCTTTTGCTGTTTCCTCTTTGTTCTGAGCCTATGGGGTGTGTTGCAAGACAACACACCCCCAGGGTCATAAAGCTAGAGGATGGATGTATTTCTCACTCAGAACCATAGAATCACTTGCCCAGCTCAGTTCTACCTCTTGGAATTACTGCTAGCATTCTCCATAGGAGCACATACTCTCACAGCCCTAGTCCTCTTAGTAGGAAAAAAATTCACCTGTGGCTCCAAAAATTTTATTTTAGACAGAGCCCTGTAAAACACAGCAGAGCCATAGCTGTGACACCTAGTGCACTGGAAATCCTGTCAGCCTCCACATAGCAGAATTCAATATGGTTTGAATTAATCAGAAATAATTTATCAGTATCATATCCCACATGCAATAATATATAGGCATAACATGTAAAGGGCATGACATATAAAGGCACGACATATAAAGGGCACGACACACGGTAAAATCTGCCATTATTTTGGCAATACATCAGAGAAGGATTGGTAGGCTAGAAGTAAACTGAAATCCTAGAAAGAAGGAGTTAGATACACTAGTTGGACCACACATGAGTCAGAATAAGACATGGAAATTAATGCATCATAGCTGACAGAACATGTATCTTTTATGCAAGTAGAAACAAAATTAATTATTTTATAATTTAAAGAAATTAAAGCACTTAAATTCTCTTCTACAAACAAAATGCCATCCTCAGAATTGTGCTTTTTATTTCTAGTGAAGCATTTTACTTTTTCTAGGTACTGTACTGTTTTTAGGTACTGTACTGTTACTAATGAAATAAACGGAATTTCTTGAGGTATGGGGGCTTAGAAAATTAAAGACGGCAACATCTAATTAAAGGAAATCAACAAGGACAAAAACTTCTTCTGTAGTGACAGTAATTCAGAAATAAAGTCAAAGTGCATAATTATATACATGTAGTCAAGGCATCAGCAAGTAATACCTGTGGAAACATAGCTCAGAAATACTATACAGTACTCTTTCTGTAATGCTAATGCTGAAATGGCTAGAAACACTATCATAAAATTACTCAAAACAAAATAAAGAACCTACATCACTATAACCCCTCTCCATCTGTGTAGTTAGCTGAACTAATTGATCCCTTCATATTAAGAGAGCATATTCCCTTCCCTTCCCTTCCCTTCCCTTCCCTTCCCTTCCCTTCCCTTCCCTTCCCTTCCCTTCCCTTCCCCTTCTTCTTTTCCGTTCTTTTCAATCCTTCTTTCCTCCCTTCCTTTCCCTTCCTGTCTTTTTCTTCCTTTCTCTATTTTTTACCTTTTTCTTTTTCTTCTCCTTTCCCTGTTTTTTTCTTTCTTCCTTTTCCCCTCTTGCCTTTTTTTCTCCTTTTCTTCCTTCTTTTCCCTCCCCTTCCCTTAATTTAATTCCTTACTCTCTTTAAAATAAAAACCTTCTGTGAGTGAAATATTTATTTTTATATTCTTCTGTCGCAATCTCAAAAATTCTCAGCACTGTGGATTTTCTTCTGCTTTTATTTTGCATTCTCATTGATTAAAAGTAATTTCAGGTGCCTGGAGAAGGCTAAACTTGCTTCAAACCAGTTGTTCTTTTTGCTCTAACAGTTCTACTCAGTAGAGCACATCTATAAAGAGCAAGTTTCTGTAAAGAGGATGGAGTAGCTCTTAGGGCTTGGCACAGTCTGCAAATTTTTACCAACAGGAAAGGTCAGCTAGTATAACCAAAAAAGGTTCACTTTGTTGTTTTTGGGTTTTTTTATGTTTGTCGGTTTGGGTTTTTTTAAACCTCTTTATGGCTTCTACACATAGAGGAAACAGAGTCACCATCTGTATTTTGCAACTCTGTCCAGCACAGCTTAGGGACTGAATTTCAAACAAACCATCCCACTTGCTTTTATTTAATTACATATAAACTGCAAATTTCTGATTCTGCCTAAAGCATTAAACACTGTGTGAGGGTTCAAAGAGTTTGAGACTTTTTTTCCAATGCCTCTGCAGACTCCAGGCACAAAGATCCATGCACCTCTTTCAGGATCAGGGCTTATTCTTCTGTCTGCTAGAGACAGGAATGGTTTTGTGTGTGTTACTGTTCTGAAGCTATCAAATTAATGGCTACAGTACAGCAAGTCAAATGCATTTTAAGTAGATTCAGTGCAAGATGCACTTGCTC